TATATATATATATATTAATTTATATCTCTTAGAGATAGAAATTTATATCTCTCAAAGAGAGATATAAATATAAGAGAGATATAAATTTATATCTCAGAGAGAGACATTAAATTAGACTTGATATGTTAACTCACGTCGAGTCTTTGTGTAAACGTGTCAGATGATACGCGCGGAAGCCGCACCTTATTTTGCAAGGGATTCTAATTCGGTTATGTCGGCAAGCCATGTATTTACTGTTACTTAAGCTTTTTTAGACAAGACAAGCGAATCGCGCAAACGGAATCCATAACCGTGCGTTGGAGGTATTATCACCAATTGCCGTCGAATGGTCGATTATGTAAACACGCGAGACGCGTCCGGGGACACATAATTATACGGTCGTCGTATCGAGCACGAAATACAATACGTATACGTTTCTGTCAAGCACAAGACCAGCGACGCCCGTTATCGTTTTTGCGCGGAAAAAATAATTTCCGCTTTGCGCAATATTTTGTGTTCAACATTTGGGTCGCAGCTCGCGATAATCCCGTGAAAAGAGATGGCGATGTATCCGCGGCGATTAGAAAATTAATTCTACGCGCGTAAATAATGTTATTTTTTTATTTATTGTTAGAATCGCGAAAATAGACGCGTCACGACTTCGAGACACAAAAAAACACGTCGATATTTCCATTTCTCGCGAAATACCGCGATTATCTCTTACGTAAGGTCACACTGCAGTTTCCTGATACGTCACGCGTGAGGAACGTACGTATCGTAAAGAAATTTATGCGCCACGTGTAATGGCAATAACGTGTCAGACAATTCGAAAAATGTCGTTACGCAATCGATAATCAACGTTGGCTCGATATGTCGAGCGTTTTTATAGGTCCTCCTACATTTACGTTGCTTCCGAACCGTTTGACAATTTCCCGAACATTATCTCTTGGTCGCTTAAAAGTATTCCAGGGACTAGGTAGGGAAACTTATGAAGTCCGAGATAATTTATTAAACTTCTTGTCGGTTCCACGTATTTGAGGACACGGATAAATTTTACGGAACGCATAAATCTGAGACGCCTTGACGTATAATTATTACGCTGATTGCAAGATAATTGAAAATGAAAATGAATGTTTATTTCAGCGAGAGCGACGTTATGTCTTGTGAAACTCGATTGTTTGCCAAAATATCTTTGTAATGTTTTTTTCTTTTTTTTTTTTTTGCTTGCAGGTCGGCAAGACCCATGAAGAAATGGACAAGATCGCGCGCCTGCTGCCGTACGTCTCGCACAAGGACGAGGTCGTAGAAATTACGGAACCTATTGACCCTGGTAAACTCCTTCCCGGTATGTTAACATCGTACGATGCAATTTAGTGAATTGTCTCTTTGATCAGATATTCCGTCTACATAGTGATACATAGTGTCCGTGATCCATGTCCTTGTTGTTTCGCTTGCAATATTCAATCGTACCGGTAGTTGGAACTTGTTTGTGAAAGTCGATTCGGTAATAGTCCATAACAGGTGTAATGGTCCTGATCTAATCAATTGATCCGGGGCAAGAAAATTACGAAATTAAGTTGAAATTCGATTTACTTAATTTATCTGATTTACATATCTTTGTATACACTCATGACCAATTTATAAAACGCTACTTCCTTAAATTGAATCAGTAAAAATGTCATTAATTAATGATTCCACCAAAGACAATTAATATTTAAATTCAGAATTGTATGCATATCATTTCTTTACTCTCAAATGTGATAAATTCACACAAAAAATGAACAAGTATGGCTCTTGTTTCAAAAATTAAGATATTTCTTTAACAAAATTATTATCAGTATTTATCATATAGATATAATAATAATATATATAAGATGCATTTCATAAAATGTTGCTCATTGAAACCCACCACCACAAATTGATTACTTTTAACGAAATTTAATTAATTTCGTTGTCCTTGATAAACACTGATTCCATTTAAGAGAATAACAATGCTAAAATAACAGAGAGAGAGAGCAATCGCGCGTCCCCGAAGCATCTACGGGTTCTTTGTCACGGTAGCCGTTATCATTTTATTTTTAACGATGTTTATCGCGTGTGCTTCCGCATTAACATTACTAACCAAGTTTCTCCCGCATTTTCGCGCCACGCAGTGCGCGGCGGACGAGCCGGCACGCAGAGATGCGTGAATCCGTGCATGCGCTGGGCCGATCGAATCATACCACGACACGAGAATAAATGGGACTTCCAAGGTTCGTATCGCCTTGGAGAGAGAGAGAGAGAGAGAGAAGGAGAGCTGATACAAGAGAAAGAGATGCTGCGCGTTCCTCTCGCTTCTTTTCGCAGCATCGCCTCTTGGAAAAAGCTTTACTATTTTCAAGCAACCGATTTCCCGAAGCCCTGCATGTCGACGCACCACCGTCGAATGGACGCATGTTAGGATTCGTAATCGATATTTCTTTTTCACGCTCCAAGATAAAAAGACGTATTTATCATCTGAAGATGAATTTTTTGCAAGGCATATTTCTTTATGGATTTTTGCAGACGATTTATTAAAGTTTTTTCAATTTGTGTGATAAGATATGGTATGTGTTTATCTGTATTGAATAGCACATATATACGTTAGTGTCCTCGCAATTTAATCTTGATTAAAATGCACCAAATTGTTTTTTTTATATTTCGTAAATGTCATAATATTATATTTGCATGTTTTATATTTCTTTTTTTTTATATGTGTAGTATTTTTATGTGCGTAGATCTTTATCCAGATATTACCTCCGATGTCCTCATTAATGCTACTTATCGATATTATTTCGGAGAAATGTCTGTCGAGTGACACCGATGACACCGAAAGATAAGACAATGAAGAGTTCACACTTATATAAAAAACATTGCTTTCTCGAAGAACAATACATTAATCAAATTGTCTATTCTCGAGATAGTTTCTGCTCTTATTAAACTTTCATTCGTACGATATATGTGGCAGAAATATTCTCGTAACTTGAAACATTATTACAATGAGAGAATCGATTTCGAGATATTTCTAAATTAAATTCAATGTGATAGTAATTTCGAAATTAATTTTGCTACATCGCATTGGAAGACAATAATGGATACATAAATCAGCATACAATGTACGATTAAAATTTGTCGCGCTAAAACTTTATTAAACGTTATTATTGATATAAACGATCATTTTGATACACATCTATACATTTCTTCATCGCGTCGCTTTAATTGTCAGCTTAAAAGTTGGTCGTTTTAATTAGTCGCAAATAATTTTAAATTTTCTTTTCTCTTCTGGCTCAGACGATAACGGCTACTGGACGTATCTGGGCTCGCTAACGACGCCGCCGTGCAACGAGAGCGTCACTTGGATCCTCTTCAAAAAATACATCGAAGTGTCCCATCATCAATTGAACATTTTCCGTAATCTGCGGAAGTTCCCACGCGGCGAGGAGTGCCCGTGTCACGAGAATCACGGAGCGGTAAGCTTTCGCGCGAGAGAAAATGTATCACTCGGTATCGTAACCTTTTCCCTATTCATATCCTTCATCGAAACTTTTCATACAAGGGCGACGACATCTTTTCCTCATTTAAACGGAAATTCCAATGATTCCCCGTATCGCTTTCCATACGTTCCCCCGCGCTTCCTCTCCTCGTTTGATAAATGAACGCCAATGAATGGCGATGAACGTGACGACGAACGCCTTTGCGGCGCCGCGATTACCATTTTCCAGCCGCGAGATACATATCTCGCTTTTCTTTTTTCTCCTTTTTTTCTCGCCCGATATACACGAAAGTACCGAGTGGAGCTGTATGATGTGCGGCTATATTTAGGCGTCCGCAGGACGTCGATGATCGCGAAACGTCGTCTCGACGACGGAGCGGGAATGTATTTCGAATCGACGAAGACACGCCACGCGACACACCTTCGTTTTTTTTAACACCGATCTTTTTTCTTCTCTGTCCCCCGTTGCAGGTGATCAACAACTTCCGCCCACCGATGCCGCTGGGAAATCGCGTCTTGCGGGAGTGCGGTAGCTTCTAAGGTTTGTCTCTCTCTTCGCCTGGGAAATAAAAAGGAAATAAAAAAGGAGGAAAGGAGAGGGCAGGGATGATCGTCAAGCACCTCTTTATTTTTGCGGATCATCGACCCCGAAGCGACGACTAATACAGTCGCTATCGAACGACAGCGTTCAACGTGCCTTTGGATTAACCAACGAATATACTCGCGTTACGTTTCGCGAGGAGCCTTCGTTGTTTTCTCGTAATTAAGTTGCATCGCATGCGTAATCGGTTCACTTGTGTTGAGAGAAAAACTTTTGCGGCGAGAAAAAAATTCCTGTCATTCTATGAAAAAATGAATTGAGAATATTTGATAGCTTTAACTTTTTAACTCTTCAACGACGAGCTCGACGTATCCTACATTATTTGACACGATTACGCGATAAGTTGTAGATCGTAGAATGTAGAATTGGCACCATTATTAAACGTATCTCGGAATCATCGCGACTTTTGTGTAGTGTATCGTAAATCAGAAGCGCTGTTTATACAAAAATCGCATTACACTCGTCTTTACGAAAATGTCGAACATCGGTGTCCACGTTTTAAAAGACGTCTTGCATAGATATGCTACTCTCGTTGAACTCGTCGAAAGACTAATTTTAAATACAAATTAAGTAATATATTTCTGACCAATCGGATGTTTTTTAACGGTGGAGATACAAAGTCTCAACAAGAGAATATAAAAAAAATACATTCGTTACTTTTTATTGGACGCAATGACAGATAATTAACGATCGTGTTTTTTGGGATATCTCTGCTGCGGCAATGTCGTCAATTGAATCTTCTGCGTATTTAGAACATAATATCTGAACATATTATCGCGTCCCTGAACCAGCCGAAATAAAATGGACTGTAATTTTAGTCGTCGTTCATTCAAAAATTCTTTAGGTTCGATTAAAAGAATCTTTTTTTGCGAAAGCAATTATTTTAAATCGCTTGTGTGTCAGAGATGATAAATCTTTGACGGAGAACGTCACGGTCAGGGATATCCTGTATAGTAGCTACTAATAAGCGTGTGTAACAATTTAATTTTTTAATTCAAGTGCAATTATGAGTGAAACGTAGAATAACAAGCGTTTGCTTTTCGCGCCTTGGGGAATCGTAGCTTTCGTTAATTAGAAACTGTCGCTTGTGCAACACTCGCGCGGCTACGAAGAAATATAAGGGGATGTGCCTACGCGCGTGCGTACGTGAATACGCATCATTTTGGCGATAGAGGATAAGACGGGTAAATAATCGCGAATATGGCTCCACCGCAACGCGTCTCATTATATCGCCACAAATGTTAGATTAATGTACAATAATGGGCAAGATGTATAATTTTTATGTATATCCGTGATAAAATCAAATTCTGTTCGATCTCGATCCGTCCTCGGGGCCATCAGTCATCGACCAGATTCGCTTCCGCAAATCGGCGCGACGTACTACGGGTACAATGATCCTTGTATATGTATGGATGCTATACGTTATATATTATACGTGACTTTTAAAGAATAGCCGTCGTATTTATTATAAAGCAGTGCCTACAATTGCTGACGCGCGAGAAATGTAAGATACCCGAAGATAGAGTACGACTCTTCATTCACAACCGTGCTTGTGTATATAGACTCTACGTTTACGAGAGTAAATCCAACATGATATAATTGCATTGCGCAAGGTTTATTGCACGCGCATCACTGATGCAACAAGTGAGATGCTGATGCCACTGTCACAGCGGCTTTTATCGCCGATGTTACTTTAAGATGTATAGCAACAGGTGACAATTGGTATACAACACAGATGAGTTGAAGAGATGAGATAATTTTTTCTGCCGATTCAAGGTTTCTCTCAGAGAGAATGACAGAAAATATATATTATATATATGTATATATTAATTCT